CGGCGAAGGAGGCACGGGAGACTGGAACTGAGGAGCGGCCGGAGCGGATGTCTTGTTGGGGTCGTTGGGGTCGAGGGGCTCGCCGTGGCCCAGGGCGTGGTACTGGGTGTAATCCATTGTGTGATGGGTGGAAGGCTTCGAGGAGGATGAATCGACGATGGCAATATCAGACTACAAAGCTGACGGACGATTGAGGGGTCTTTTTGTGTGAGACAAGCGCAGCAAAGGCAAGGCCAACGAGGAGAAATGAAAAGGTCAACGACTGGTAAACATGCTCAGCACCGCTTCCATGATCCTCGCTCACAAGCCCGGCTCGCAAAGGTCGTGTACGTCGTCGCGGCGAAGCTGCAATTGCTAGAGGAGCTGCCGTGCCTCGGTGGCCTTTTCGCGGTGCTTCGACTTTCTACATTCGTGGCTTCAGAACCTCAATAGCCGCTTGCCTCTGATTGGCTTAGCCTGATTTCGAGCTCTCAAAGGCTTATCGAGCGGTTATCGTTATCGTGACAAAGGCAGCCCCGCTTGTACCTTTGTATCTGCGCGGCCTCCATCGGGTTATTGCACGTGCACGGTCACATGGAGGCCAGCATCCAGCCATTCCGTGTAAGTCGAAAGATGGAGACGTAGATATTATGGGAAAAGGCAAGCTGAAGAGCGGAAAGGTTTGCAGTCTCTAGCCGCAGGAGCATGCCGCAGAGAGCGATCAATTTTCATGGAGCTACTAGGCGGCTTTAGAGATGGATGGAGAGGACTCCAATGGCCGATATACAATACATGTGTGTGTACATACGTTGAGCACCACGCTGAGCCAATCCGCTGGAGGCAGGGTCATATTGCATGATAAGCACATTTTAGGTTCGGCGTTTGGTCCTATGGAACAAACTCGTTCGCAATTTGAAGTCTTCAGTGTTCTTCATCTTTTTCACTTTTTTTTGAATATTTAAATTTCATGTATGGAGAATAATTGAAACCTACCTGTACTTTCCCAGGCACTCTGGTGATTGGATTGGCGTGCCTTGCTTTGCTCGTGGAGAGTGCTGCAGTCATCAGGCATGACACGACTCGGGGATTTATGAGTTGTCATTCGATCATAGGCACAGCACCAGGTCATTCTCGATGGCTCGCATAAAACGGAAACGACAGGTGTCTCTATCGGATTGAATGCTGGCAATCAACTAATAATTACCTGCTTACTCCTGCAAGGTGAATTGTAAGGAGTTGCCAGTACGCAGTAGGGTATGTTATTGGTGAGCGCATCCGCGCATTGGAGCAAGCATCGTGTAAGACTGTAACAGATCTCATGCAGGAGTCTGCATCAATGCCTAGGATTCCGGTTGATGCAGAGGGAATTGTCCCAAATCGACGAGCTTCAAAAGAGAGCTGTCTGGGTTGGGCACAGCCGACAAGCTGGTTGGGCTGCGTGTCGTTGTTGTTGTGGGAGAGAGTCCAAGTGCGGGGAGAGGAGCGGTGATGACGGTGTTGCGCGGCCGTGGAGATTGTCGCAAAGTAAGGCAAAAAAACAGCTATTCGAGTGAGAAAAAAAGAGGAAAACTCAGAATATACGATGAAATCCCCAAAGCAGCAAAATTCAAGCTTGTTATTATCGCTATGCGCCGCTGTGATCTCATATGGACGGCTGGGTGGTCATTGGACCCTGGAACGGATGACATGACATGGTGCAACGGCGAGCCACAAAGAAGCGGCGTAAAACCGTCGCAAAAGGCAGCTTTGAAACCCGGCAGGACGAGAAAAATTCGATTTCGGATGAGAAATAGTCTATTGTAAATCGGCGAGAGCAAAATGACAAGAAACAGCGGGAGATTTGGCTCCGAAAGTGGCAAAGGTGAGACGATGACAGGACGGTCGGTCGCATGACCATCCGCCACTCCGGCAGCGGGCGGTCTTGGAATCGCGACAACTCGCCGTAAAGAAGAGATATAATTGCAAAAATAGATGAAATCAATTCGCAAATTGTCAAATATTATAATGAGCCCAGAAACTATGTGACTTCAAAAGTGGTTGCGAAGCAGTGCGGCGGGAAAGCGTTGCGAGGCTCATGTCTGGATAGCTTCACGGTTGGGTCGCGAGCGAAAGCGCGACACTGGGCCAAAAAAGTGACTTTGGCTGCGGACAGCAAAACAAACACCAAGACGCACCGGAGCCTAAATAAAAATAGGCTCAGCGAATAGCCCGAGAAACAGGCATTCAGATTCAACCATTCACAGGGTCACGAACGGGGGGTGCTGTCGCGCAATTCACAATGCGACAACGACCATAGGGGAGCGACGACGTCGACCATCTAAAGCGAACCACGTCTCCGGCGACGACCCGCCGACCAGATGGCCTCTTACAACAAACAACGCTACAACCGCATCGGGCGCCGGGGGATTTCTGACGTCAAAAAGCGCAGCAGACAGAAGGGAAATGGACAGCTCAAAAAATGACTCACTGACCAGGCAAAAGGAGGGCCAGCTCGAGAAGAACAAAGCGAGCCGGACAGGAATCTGGCATCCAAGGTCGGGGGGAGCGGTCGAGCCTCAGATCAGAGGTCGAGGTACACCGCAGACGAGGTGATGTTGGCGCTGGCCAATCAGAAAATTGGTCACGAGGCAAGGGATTATTTTCGCAGCCGAACTGGCGTCGATTTTTACTTTGGAAGCATAACAAGGGCTGTGGGGCCCGTGGCTCTGGCAGGAGGGCCGGAGAAGGCATGTACCGGTACCTGCAACCGCAAGGTACCGGACACGGCGGGTCGTCATTTGGTGTGATGCTGAGCTGTTGTCCGGGCTGATGTGTGTGGCTGGAGAGGGAATTGGAGGGATGAGGATCGGGGAATTGAGCGCCTCGGTCGAGGTGGTATTAGCTTTAGCGCAAGAGCTGTTGAGTTGAGGTGGAACAAGCCGCTCAGAAAGGTTACACGCACGCACGCACACAGGCATATGGATTGGATCACATCGGAGGACGGTGATGATGGCGTCGTCCTGATAGCGAATTAGGTAGTATATGGGATGCCGATGCCAAAAGAGTAAATGAAATTGAATACAAAATAGATAAAAGATAAATAAAAATAAAAATACGATGAAATAAAATGAACATAAAAGTGGATGAATACAGCAATTGATGAAAAGAAATCGATACAGAGCGACCGGTATAGGGTGGTGCCTTGAGACAGAAGAGAGAAATGGGAGACGAGGAGGAGGAGGAGAGGGAGAGAGAGAGAGAGGCAGACACCGACAGATAGAGCGAGAGAGGGAGCACAGACATGCAAGAGAGTGCCGACTGTTGAGCCCAGAAAAAAAAGTTGTGGCGTTCGCCCTCGGTGCAGGATCGCTTCCCGGCCGGGGAGAGAGGGGCTTGTACCGGTACAAGCGCTAGAAGTCGTTGATGGAAGCAAAAGGTGTGGTGGTCTGGCCACTGCAGCACTACCACTAGTGGGGGCGCCTAGCGGGTGCGGCACACATGGGAGAGCAAGATGTACATGATCCAGCGCCAACACAGCACTGACCACTCCAGTCCAGGGGACCTCTGCTGGAGCTCCCAGCACCTAGCTCCAGGACCTACTGATTGCGGCGCTGCCCCCGCCCCGTATATAAACAAGCCCCATCGCCCTCCCACGCGCCCGACGTCTCGCCTGTGCCCTCTCTCTCTCGATCTTCATCGCTCTACAATTACAATTCTCCAGTCGCGTCAGACGCCCGCTTATCCAGAACTCTCTCTCTCAAATCACAGTCGAACACGTTCTTCGCCCATCCACAGCCATGCCTCCCAAGAAGACCGAAGGTGCTGCCCCCAAGGCCAAGTCTGGCGCTGCCCACGCCAGCTACCAGGTTAGTTTCACCGTCCGTCGGCCGCATGCCGGCATCTGGCGACGATTTTTCACTTGTGCGGTGTCTTGATTGGAAGCTAATGCGAGGCCGAATGCAGGACATGATTACGGATGCCATTCTCAATGTATGTTGGCAGCCCTCTGTGGCACCAGCGCATCTGTTTGCGCTTTATTTCCCCGTCTTGCCCCCTCCCTTCACCTCCCCTTATCACTGCTGTCCTTCTCCCCCCTCCCTCTCGTAGTTGCTACTGCTGCTACCCTCTCTCACTCCATCACACCACTCACTCCACGTCGCGTAATGTCCCGCCCCGTCCATTTTTCTTGTGCGAACCAACACAGGATTGTAAACTGACTTGCTCTCTTTCGCATCCAACAGCTCAAGGATCGCAATGGCTCTAGGTAAGCGCTGGACCCATCAGTCGCCCAAACTCATTGGGCACCATCCGGTACAAGTAGCTAACAGGGTCCCAACAGCCGTCAGTCTCTGAAGAAGTACGTCAAGGCCAACAACACCTTGAACGTTTCGGACAACATGTTCGATTCTCTCTTCAACAAGGCCCTCAAGGCCGGTGTTGAGAAGGGCATCTTTGCCCAGCCCAAGGGCCCCTCTGGAGGCACCAAGCTGGCCAAGAAGAAGCCCGAGGCCAAGAAGGCTGCCGCTCCCAAGAAGGAGAAGGACGCCACTGCTAAGAAGGCCACTACCACCAAGAAGGCCGCCGCCCCCAAGAAGGCCAAGGAGGGCGCTGAGAAGAAGGAGAAGAAGGAGGGCGCTGCCACCAAGAAGGCTGCTGCTCCCAAGAAGGCCACCGCCACCGCTAAGAAGACCAAGGAGGCTCCCGCCAAGGTATGTCTTTGAATCTCATTCTCATTCTTACTCTCACCCTATTCTAACTCCTCCCCCTTTCAGCCCGAGAAGCCTGAGACCGTTCTGACCAAGACCAAGTCCGGCCGTGTTGCCAAGGCCCAGAAGCCCGCTGCCACCAAGAAGGCCGCACCAAAGAAGGCTGCTGCTCCCAAGAAGGAGAAGGCTGCTGCTGCCGCTCCCGCAGCCGCCGCTGCCACCAAGGCGTAATTGATCCCTTTGGCGTGAGCAAAAGCAGCTTTTCTTTTACTTTTTGTATCCTTGATGAATGTGGCACGGCGTTTTTGGGGTTGCAAATTATTACTACGGGTCGGGCAAGGGAGAGCCTGGGTAGGCTCGGGATTGATTGATTGCTGTTTTCGCGGTGCGCAGGAATGATGTTTGTTTTGATACGCGCACTCTCGGACGCGCTGGGCACGGCATTATCGCACTATATATGTGACTTTCCTGGAATGAGCTCCCCAGTGGGGGGGCGGATCACTATATTTTTTTTCTTACACGATTGATCTTGTCCGTCCGTGTGCCGTGTTGTAAGAAAAAAAAAGTTTGCGCGTTTTCAGTTTCTCTGGTGGGCGGATACTGTGGGCAAAACAAACCTACATAAGCGTCACGGTCTCTTGGGGTGTTGGTGCGTGCTTGATGTAATAGTATTATGGGAAACATATAGACTTGTACAATTCATATAATTAACCTGCAACGTCTTTGACCAAACATGCGAATTGCGATATGATTTCAATTCGCAACTCCCCAAACGGGAGTGATGAAATGAGGCCAACCTTCTTGATAGCGCTGTGTTTTTGCCTTGGTACGAAGCTTGGAACAGCTTGCGCCATTAGTACGCGTAGCGAGATACTACGGGGGAAGAGCTTGACAGACACGGAGGGGCGCATTGCAGTCGAGTGCTATTCCGGGCCATTGTTTTCTCCACGGGCCGCTGAACCAAATATAGATGCCGCGGTTGCAAGAATCGAAAGGATCGATGAAACGCTACGAAGCTGTCTTACCGTTTTAGAACTATCGTCAGCTTTACGCAGGATGGCATGTTCACTAATATGGAGGAGGCATGGGCCTCTCAAAGAACGCCCAAAGTTGCTCCAGGGCTGCTTGTGCTTGTGAAGAGGCGCTAAGCCAGTAATCTCGTAGTGGCAGCGCTCAGCCTCGTCTGGTTGGTCACCATGACGTTGACGCAGACCCTTCAAGGTTCCATGTTGGTTTGGCTCAAGGGTTCTGGGGCAGAGAAAGATGGGACAGCAAATACTTGTACTTGTCTCTGCTGCTCGAAGCACAGCATTGGCATTGTGTCTGTACAAGAGCCGTCACCGTCTGAATATAGGGACCTCCGCAGCTTCGGGCTCACTACCCGTCCACCGTATTTACAAAATGCCCTCTGTTACGAAGCGCCGGTCAGTACAGTAGGTACGTGTATTAATTATAGATTGGATGCCATGTGCTACCAGGCCAATGCGCAAGGCTCGTAGCACTGAGCATGCCGTGTGCCTGCGGCTCGCTGCCACGTAGACGCAGCACGGAGTGACCCGAGCCAAGCCCCGTGTGAAGCGGTTATGCTGCTGCCTCAGAGCATCACCGTCAACTCCCGTCCGTCGATAATTTGCCCCTTGCAGCCTTTGCCTTTCCCTAGGTACCTTATTCCCTTAGTAAGTGCCGTTTCTCGAAGTCTCCAATGCCCTTCAATACCGACTTGGGTATGACGCCTGTCCTCCGCAATCCCCGTAGTAGTACTTGGCTCGGGGGTCACCAGACGTTGCCTCAACCGTCAGCGAATCTCGTCAGCGCATCCCGCCATGGCCGGCCGTATCAGGAACACGCGGTACCTGCCGAGAACAGCTGGCTGGCCCGTGCGAGCACCATTAGCACCTGTGCCATGTGCAGGGCTGTGATGAAGCGATACCTGCGGCCGGGCTCCTGCGTGGCTGAGTTGCCAGGTATCTCCTTAACTCGGCATGGGGCACCCCTCATTGAGGCACATGTAGCTGTACCACCACTTGGACGTACCTTCCTGTAGCTCACCCCTTCGCAAGGGACAGCCTAACCGATTCTTCCGAAACGACTCACTTCCATATTTTGCTCCCTGGGCCACACACGATTGTTAAGCCGAACACGGTTTCATATTTTCTGTCAACATCGAAGATTGTTTCTTTGACGCTGGAAGATGGCGGACCGGCTGCCTCTCTTCCTGTCGTGACCGAAGGGAATAGAGGATACAAGAGAGCTCCCCCCAGCCATACAAAACCATATTATACGGAACCTACCCACTGCCTTAGTAGACCCGTTGCCTGTCAACGATGGCGTCGTCATCGAACCCCTTCCGCAAGAGTGCGACACAGCACACAGAGAACCGCTTCCCTCCAATCGACTCTATAGATGCCGCCCAGCTATTCCCGCCTCCGAAAACGAGCTTCCGCGACGAAAACGTGCCTCCGGCCGCACAATCTCCGGCTGTTGACGCAAACAAGGCCAAGGTCATCAAAAAGGTCCGCGTTCTGTCACCGCCTCCCCGGTCGCCCGACTCACCAGAGTGGACGACAAGCTACTTTGGCTCTGCCGCCCATACATATGCACAAGAACAAGATCCCTTCAACAATGTCGATAACGATTGGGACAATGCAACCGCTACCCCACCTCCTCAGCCGGCCCTTCCGCAGGGGCGGCAGCCGTTGACGGCGGCAGAGATGCAGAGACCGGTTTCGACGGTGGCCAATCCATTCAGCAAGAAGAAAACCCAGGACACTGGGAATCATCAGGAGCTAAAGGAGGCTGCAAGAGAGGAGGGCGAGGTGTTGAAGGCGGCACAGTCTGCGAGGCGGTCACTGAACGTGGATTCATTTAAACGGCTGCTGATGACGGGGGCAACGAGCCCGCCAAGCTCTCCGCTCCCAACGGACTCCTTCGATCATAGCCAGGCGGATCAACTCAAGCCTACACCAGAAATTTCAACTGTCACCTCTACAAACAAAGAGAAAAAGGCTCCTCCGCCTCCTCCCAGCTCACGCCACGGCAAGGTGATTAAACCCGGGCAGAGCGTCTCTGGCACTGAGAGTGCTGTTACCAGCCCTAAAGAAAAACCGGCCGAACCAGTCGTATCTAAAACCGAGTCACCACCCCGACCTGTGTTGTCTCAAGAGAGCTCGTCTAGCAGTTATTCCTCAGAAGAGACAGAAGAGGAGGTGCCTCTTGAGACTGATACCCATCCTCCCGCACTCACGGCCAGCCCAGATCAAATAGATACTTCGGTATCACCCCCCAACAATGCTAAGAAGCCTCTACCAACCCCGCCACCGAGAAGGCAGCCTCGGATTGAGGTAAAAACGGGTGCCCCGGATTTGAAAGAAAATGAACCACCTCCACGGACATCCATGGAATCGATGCCATCGAGAACGAGCAGCGTTCGCCACAGTGCTCATGCGCCGGCGCCTCCACCGCCTCGAAGGACTACATCGGGCTCGAGGCAACCGGGCACTCCGCAATCTTCCACCTTCATTCACCCTCCCGACCTGGACACCCCAAGGACTTCGATGGACTCGGCCAGACCCATGGCCCCTCCTCCGCCTCCCACGCGCAATCCTTCCACCCGCCGACCTCAGAGCTTATACGGCCTGGAATCCTCTCATCGACGAGGTTTGGCTGAGATCAAGCCGCGAGACGGGGTGGCGCCCCCTCCCCCGCCATCGAGGATACGGGGCAGCAGCCAGAGCAGTACGGACGGACCATCCGGACGTGCGAGCCTGGACTCGGCCAGAAAACCGAGGACGTCTGCAGACGAGTTTGGCAATCTCGATGCACAGTACCCTGGCCAAAGCGTGGACATTCTCGCCGACCTCGAATCGCTGCAGAGGGAAGTCGATGCCTTGCGAGGGAGAATGAGTTAACACTAAAAAAAAGGTAACTTTCTTCATGCCTCATTTGTGGAATACACAATGGGTTTCGGAGAAGAGAGGAGATGTAAATGTGATACCAGAGGGGAATAACATTAGAGGAGTGAGACGGAAAGGGAAATGACATTCTATGGAGTCCGCTGTATGGTATATATGGGAGGCGTTGACTATTCTTCTTTTGTTTGCGCAGCTTGGGAATGCCGATACGAAGTTTTTGTGGTTTTTAAAACTTCTCTTTTTTTCCTTTTTTGTTTATACAGAATAGCGTCTGGACTGTGGTGCGCCCAAGTTGTAGCATCGATGTAGCTTCATCTTTTTCTACTGTAGTTGAATAGGTACATTGTGAAATCTCTCCATTTGGATTGCGATTTGCCGTGAAGTGAACTGTTTTGTCTTCATCGATAAAAGATGCCGTGTACTATTAGTATTCCCTTTATCCTAAGAATGTCGGCTGTCTAGATGGCGCCCCTTTACATCCCAATTAACGCCGGATAATGCACGCTACCACTCCTTCAAACAAGCATTATACATCCTATCCCAAGTAATCTCCCGTCTTTGACTAAATTCCCTGTCTATATATCAAAATAAATATTCGTCTCGCTGTGGGGTTTTTTTGCTCTATGCTGAAGTCTTTATCTGGTTCATTTCGTACTCTCCGGCCGTACTTGATCCGCCCATCCCATCTTCAACGTCTGGGTGCAATGCGTCCTCTCTTGCGCCGGGGCCCCTGTTTGAAGGGGCGGACGTGCCAGACCCGAGGATCCTGCCGCCGAGGAAGAAGACGGGCTGGAGCTCGCGGTAGCGGCATCCCCACATGCCCAGGCCGACGGCGGTGGCGGAGGAGGCGAGCATGGTGAACCACCACATGGAGTTGCGGGGGAGGGAGCGCGTGTAGAGGCATGTGAAGAGGAGGTGGAGGAAGTGGATGGTGAGGGCGAAGTCGGGGACGAGTTTGCTGCGCGCGACGAGGATGACCATGGCGACGGACCTGATGAGGAAGAATTAGATGAGTATTTTGCTTGTCTGTAGATAAAACCGTAAAAAGAAGGGGAAAGGGGGTCGGGTGAAGCATATTTGGGGGGAGAAGGGGAGAGCGTACATGCAGAATCCTCCGTTGAGGAGCCAGACAAAGGCCATGAGCCATCCTTGTGTTGTGTCGCCACGCACGCGGTCCCAGCCGAGAATCAGGTCGAAGCTAAACGGCATGCCCGCGACGAGAGTGGTGAAGAGCATGAGGACGAGGGCGGCGAAGTAGTAGAGGGCCTGGAGGATGGCGATCTGGGAGGCGATTTTGAGGGGCGGGAGTTCCGTGAGGGCGCCGGCGCGAGGGGGTCTGCGGCGGCGAGCCATTGCGATTTATGGGAGGACGGAATAGAGCGACTCGCTTCGCTTGATTTGAGTGTTTTAATTGTTGAGTGAGGGTTTATTCTATGGGATGCGTAGAGATGCGAGTCGGATGGATGAGGCGACTTGGTGTTTCGTCGTGCATCGGTTCGGGATTCGCTGTCTTTTAGTCCATGGTGAGGCGAGATGGATAGCGAGTGGAGTTTCGGATGATAGTAAAGACGAGTGAAGGCGCCGCGAGCATTTGCTGCTCCTGGCGCGAAACAGATGCTGATGCAGACGCTGGTGATGGCACAAGGCAGATGAGAAGGGACGGGAGTTGCAGTAATGATGAATGCTTGTGCATGATACGCCGGACAGGTGACAGCTTGCCTGCAGGCCGGAATTGCGCTAGGCTGCATCAGAGCTGTTTGCGCCTGACCGCCCACGGGATTCTGCCGGTCTTTTGATCGTCATACTGGAATGGGTGTGCGAAATAGTGCATGTATTACCAACGAACTTCATAGCAGCTCGCACGTCGTTCACCCAGTCTACAACCAATTTGGGTTTGCTGAGGCTGAGGGCATTTCATCTCAATTAGACACGACTGGCAAATTATTGGTGCTTCCATTGCTGGATGAGTACATGAGATATCAAGCTCAGGAATAGCACAACACTGGTACCCCTCCCATCAGAGCAGCAACCTACAAAGCCTGGTCTCGACACAAGCACTTCGCCTGTTGGACTCTCTTCAGCAGATACACCTATCAATCTCATATATACACATCTTCCTGAGCAAAAATGGGTTGGTGGCCATTTTCCGCAGACACCCGGGCCGACGCCATCCGCAGCGGCACGGCCATTCCCAACCGCGAGGAGCGCACCGTCTGCTGGGCCTCACGAGACGCCTACTTTGCCTGTCTAGACGCCAACAACATCATTGACGCCAACAAGGACGCCTCCGCCGCTGCCAAGGCGTGTCCCAAGCAGTCTGCCGATTTCGAGCGCGACTGTGCGGCCGCCTGGGTCAAGTACTTTAAGCAGTGGCGCGTAGCGGATCTGCAGAAGAAGAAGAGGCTGGAGGAGCTGCGCAAGCAGGGCGCTGTCGAGATGGACGTTTCGACTAGCTTTGCGCCAGAGGGGGGTGCTGGGGAGAAGGGGAAGGGGAAGGGCGATATCCAGGAGATGTTGGATCGGAAGAGAGGGAGGTGAACTGATGAGGTATAGCACTTTGTCCAGTCTCACTTTTTTTTTAGTGATGGAGGAGGCTGGTGGCATACTTTGTGTTTGATATAGATGCCGACGTGTACAACAGTTGTATATTTATGATGGATATTGGAAACTAAGTAAGGCAGCATACAATTATGGACTCACTCTTCTCTTTTGGGGATTTATAGATGGTACAAATTCAGCTCAAAAAACGGTGGTTCTTTTGGAACTCGGTGCTCTCTTGTTTCTTTGCGGTATACATGAGACAGTGAATTAAGAGGTAGAAAAAAAAAAGATGGTATGCTGCCGCAGAAAATAGGGAAAGGGGAGATGAATGATTGAATCAATTGGATAATAAGTAAGTCAGGAGAAAGTGGCGGCTATAGAAGATGTGAATACAAAGAAAGCAAAAAGACAGGCAAAAAGAATTTGCGAGCCTATGGCCCGCATCACGTATGGACGAACAGGGAATCGAACCCTGGACCTTTCCCAGGCGGTGTTGCAACCCGGAGGTTGCACTATGCTAAGGGAAAATTATACCACTAAACCATTCGCCCATTTGACTCGTGATGCCAGAATCGAGGCCCTGAGATTACCTAAGACGGTAGCATGAGATTGAACGATCGAACTCGAGATGGTTTTGCAGAGGCCGCCCAGGTGATTCACGAGCGTGTAGCTGTATCGATATGACATCCATGGATCCGTATTGAATGCCGGTTACTATAGAATCTACGGCCCTTAGACCTGCCAGTTATGATGCGGGTAAGTAATTACAGCCCGATTTAGTTCAGCCGATTCCTTGGCCTCGGTAGCCTCTGCGGCCTGCTTGATGCTAATGGGGGCGTTTGGCCACCATCGCGGCCTCGCATGCTACCCTGGATCTATTTCACATTTTTCGCGGCTACGCGTTCCCGTGTGACATGGCGGGGTGTTGTGATTATTTTGATTATTTTCTGATGATACAGGCTTTCTATATGTATCCATGTCTGGGCCTCTGCGTCATTGAGGTTGTTTGCGAATGCGGGGGGCTGTTACATACCTCATACCAAGATGCACAGACAAAAGGGCCATGGTGTTTTCAGCAGCATCATGTGGCAAAAGTCAAGACAACATGCTTATTCCTGGACGGATCTGACACCTGCTGTAGCATCGCTTCAGAACCTCGGATGTGAATTCACCCAAGGCGAACTGTATACTAGGTATGCCTAGTAATACACCAAATATACGAAGTAAATGCCGTCCATGAAGCTAAATTAACACGCATGATGCCCTCACCACGGCCAAGAAACATTATATTGAACAAGCCCATCACAATCTCAGCCCCCCTGCTTCCCCAAGTCGTATTCTCTGCATATTCTCGTACCTCTTTCGCCTTTAGCGCCCTCCTGGCGTTTCACGGCTCAGCTCTGCCTGTTTCATGAAACGTCCCCCCTCTAGTGCTTTGGCCTCCTGGCGCTGCGATTGGATCGTCGCCGGCGCATCCCTGCGTCCCTTTTATCCATCGAAAAGGGAGCCAATCTCGAGCCACGCCTGAAGTGGGAGTGACGCCTGTTTGGCGGCCGATCGTGAGTGGTGCCTTTTGGTTGGCCAGGGGGGTCACAAGCAATGGTCGCTTTTGAGCCTCGCCCAATCAAGCCCGACGTCCTTGGAGGCGATTGCTAGCCCGTGCGCAACCCCTGGAGAGCATGATTCACGATCCCTCGTTGAGGGAGCCGTACAAAGGGTCTTGCTTTGGCCCTCGGGCATCGTGGATTCTCGTTTTTACGACCACGGGTTCTGTCCACCTATTCATTCCTTTCTCACGTCGCTGGCTGGCACTGCATCACTCCTTTTTATAGCGTTCAGCTCTCTGTTACGCATTGCGTTCACTTTTTTCTCAACTTTTGAACAGTCCTTGCTTGCCACAATACAAAGACCTGGTGTCCCTTGTTGGCTACATAAACGCATCTACGCACACATCAACGCTCACGGCGCCCTCGATACCATACTCTACTCCTACTCTCGCATCTCGAAGTTGTGATACCAATAAAATTCATCATCACCATGCACTTCTCCGCCGTCTCCTCGCTCGTCTTGGGCCTCGCCACTCTCGCCGCGGCCCAGCTGCCCGCTGCTGCCATCGTCAAGCAGATTGCTCCCAACGCCGAGAACTGCGCTGATACCACCGAATGCCGCACTGCTGAGCAGGCTGCTCCCTTCATTGCCCAGGCCATGTACGACTACAAGGTCTATACCACACCCGAGATGGCTGCCATTATCGCCCTGATGGCCTTTGAGTCCGTCGACTTCAAGTTCAAGCACAACGTCTCTCCTGGCCGCCCTGGCCAGGGCACCGCCAACATGCAGATGGCCAACTTCAACTTGAAGTATGCCCAGAGCATCGACAGCCTCAAGAGCCAGGTCTCGCAGTTTACCACCACCGATGGCTTGAGTGACGATGATCTGAACCACATCCTGTCTCTCGTTCAGCCCGACGAGTTCAACTTTGGCAGCGGCCCTTGGTTCTACTCTACCCAGTGCGACCCATCCGTCAAGCAGGCCTTGTGGCAGAATGTCGATACTGGATTCCAACAGTACATGGCGTGTGTTGGTGTGACTGTCACGGATGATCGCCTGGCATACTTTACCAGAGCAAAGGCGGCATTTGGCCTGAACTGAGCTGCAAAGGCCCTGAGTTTGCCTTCGATACCATGAGTGTAGCAGTTTACTGCCGTTGTTGTGATTAGTGTGTTTGTTCGAAAAATATATTTAGCGATACCCTCGTCAATAGGAAAAAAATAGGAAAAGAGCGTTATACCCATGTTGATGGTAGTTATTTTTGTGTCTATGTGAATTGCTAGATTGGGGAGGCTGGCACGGAGCAGATTTCCGAAAGCTGTTGACGGTAGATGAATCTGGCCTGCTGTTCGGCCCAACAGTAAAGTGACTGCGCCGATAGGGCCTAGGTTGTGCATAAACGAGCATTCGGTAGACCTGAATGCTGCCTCGTATTTGACGTGGAGTTAAATCCTTTGATTCTGGCCGTATCGGTAAGCGGATCTGATCCTTTTGCTCGGTCGGCCAACAGCATCAAGAGCACGCAATACTGATACCGGATAAGAGTCGCGCTGCCGGTCCTGGTTAAAAAGTCAACAGGCGCGCCGACACCTTTGAGACATCCATCAATGCTATTTCCTTGATTTTAATAGTTCAACTCACCGACCTTTTACAATTCTCGCGTGCATTTTAGTGAGATGCCCAAGGATAGTGGGTGCTGAGGGGTGACCTGAATTGTTGACGCACAATGGCATCTCATGTTGACATCGCCTTCTTCCTCTCACTTACCTTGGCAACCTCGCTTGCATTCATTGTTCTTGGCTCATATCGGCTGTGGACTTTGCGTCATGAGTCGGTCAAAGTAAAGCCGAATTGGCTCGCTGTCATTAAACCCGTAGGCATCACCCCTTGCTGCGTATTTCTTGTTGACACGCCACCGCTGACTGAATGTTGCGAAACAACAGCTCGTAGCTTTGACTCTACCAGCGATATTGCTTGTTGATTTGGCACTGAACCTGTCAGAGGGACATAAAGAGTGGTTGGAAACTGTATCGCGCAGTGCATCTTTGATTGCGTCGGCCGGTTTGGTTTGGCTGTCGGTTGCAGAGCACAAGCGTTCCATTCGCCCTTCTACTCTCGCGGTGCTATATCTACTGCTCACCTGTGCTTGGGATGCCTTTGCGTTGACGTACCCCGGCTTCTCTGAGGTTCGAGATGGCGGCAGAACCAATGCGGCCTTGGTGGCTGGGTTTGCGTCCCGGCTCGCGATACTGACTCTCGAAAGCCAAGAAAAAACATACATATTGAACCCAAAGTATAGCAATAATTCCCCAGAAGAAACCGCTGGATTGATTAGCTCCCTGCTTTTCTGGTGGATGAATGGACTGTTGAGTCGGGGCAACAGGAGCATCTTGCGCGGTAGTCAGCTGCCGCCTCTGGGCAGTAGACTGGAAGCTGAGCGCCTGCGCCGGGATATCTTGCCGTCATGGGACAGCAGATGTAAGTTTTGGCTTTGATGGCATCCTACATAGGTTGTTCCTTGTGTTTAACCCGCTGCAACAGCAAAACCTGAAACGATCTTGACGTTACTGAAAGTCTTGTTGCGGTGTCTTTCAAGACCCTTTCTTGCCGCCACTTTCCCGCGCTTAGGCCTTGTCGCTTTTAGATGCTGCCAGCCTATACTCATTGAAAAGGCCGTTCGGTTTGTCCAGGGATATACAAAAGAAGATGATATTAATGAGGGATATTGGTTAATAGTGGTGGCTGTAGTCGTCTACTTGGGCCAGACAGTAAGCATCAACCCGTCCAACCATGAGTGGAGAGTCTCATTGCCGTTGTATAAAGCAATGTTAACCAATTCACCTCAGTTTTCATCATCGATATACTTCCATCGTCTCAACAAGCTCGAACTCATGATTCGCGGGTGTCTCACGACGCTAATCTACAACAAAACATTGGCCATCGGCTCTCACGTTTCCGATACGGGGAAAGTGTTGACCATCATGAGCACAGACGTCAATGGCGCAGCTGAAGCAGGAAAGATGTTTCATGAAGCCTGGGCTAAGCTCTTTGAGCTTGTTCTTGGCATAATCCTTCTGGTCCGAGAAGTCAAATGGCTTGCTCCACTCCCTTTTATCATCATCATTTGTAAGTTGACTTCCATGAAGCCAGGCTCTTGGTATAGTGGTTATTAACAATAGTATTTGGCGTGTAGTTTGCTCTCAGATCAGCCGTTATGTGGCAAAAAACATTCGTTCCAGGCAAAAAGGCTGGAATATGGCCACTCAACGGCGGATATCGGCCCTGAGCTCGATCCTTGGGTCGATGAAAAGTGTCAAGGCTCTGGGAGTATCGGGAGCGATGATGGACTATGTTGAAAAGCTGCGACAAGATGAGATCGACAGCTCAAAGAGAGTTCGCTGGATGAATGCCATTTATAACGCGAGTGGTAGGCTTCTGTCCCGTTCCTATCTATTTCACTTATTTGTGTGTTTTTGCGAATGCTAAGATGCTGTAATAGCAAATGCTCTTGGAATTTTTGCGCCGGCAGCCACCGTCGTGGTATATGCCATCGTGGCTCGCCTTCAGGGCTCACAACTGAGTGTCAGCACTGCGTTCACGACTGTTGCCATCTTGGCCCTCGTGACTGAACCTGCAAACATGATCATGACGATCGTGCCCAACGCTGTCGCAACCTCGGCCAACTTTGAGAGGATCCAAGCGTACCTACTTGAATCACCTCGTACAGATAAGCGCCGTGTTATGCCTCAAGCTGCGGACGCATTGAGAGCAGATACCGCAGAAGCTGCTGTAGCTCTTAATGGAGTAACGGTGGAATCCGCATCGACAAAAGAGACCCTCTTGGACGATATCAATTTGGTACTTCGCCGAGGATCTATAACCACCTGCTCTGGACCTGTTGGAAGTGGTAAATCAATACTTGCTAGAGTGATCTTAGGTGAACTTGCACCGTCTGAAGGCTCCATTACAGTTTCCTCAGCATCGATAGGATTCTGTGATCAACAGGCTTGGCTGCCAACTGGCAGAGTCAAGCAGATTGTATGCGGATTTTCTACAACCATTGATACAGAGAGATATAATGCTGCTATTCGTGCTTGTTGCCTCGATCATGATTTAGGCAGTTTTCCTGAGGGCGATGAGACCATTGTTGGCAGCCGGGGGATCAATCTTTCAGGCGGACAAAGACAGAGACTGGTAAGATGAGAGTCCCGTGTCTTCTGCTAGATGGAGCTAATATATCATAACGTGTACAGGCCCTTGCGCGTTTAGTATACTCTCTTCACGACATTGTGGTATTAGACGATCCGTTTAGCGCCTTAGATGGCAACACAGAGAATATGGTTGTGGATAATTTGCTTGGACCGAATGGATGGTTCAAGAAGAATAACACGGCGGTGTTTTTGGTCACAAACTCCGGTTAGCCCCTAGGATATCTCTTCTGGTGTTTATATGAGGCTAACCGTTGGCAGCCCAGCATTTCCACGTCGCAGACGAGATATTGGTTCTCGAAAAAGGTCGTATAGCATCGCGAGGATCATGGGATGCGTTAAAGTCGTCTTTGTCCGAATTATCCAAGTTTACATTTACAGAAACAGCGAAGAAACCCGAGGCTGTTCTCAAGTCCACTAGAAGGACGTCGCAGTCTAACGCGGACGCCGAAGAAGATCTGTATCGGAAAACGGGTGATTTCTCGCTTTATTGTAAGTATGACCACATAAAGTGCTTGAGAATCTAAGCTGATGGATTGGCTAGCATACTATTTCAAAGCTGCTGGCGTAATGAATGTGGTTATGCTGCTTGGATGTTCGGCAGGGTATTCCTTTGGAATGTTCTTTCCGCAGTATCTGCTGAAGTGGTGGACAGAAGGTTCCCCAGACAAGTCGACTTATTACATGATTGGCTATCTCTCGCTAGCCCTTCTTGCTTGGCTCGCAACAAATGGCAGCACATGGTAAGTCGCGAGGAATATTTCAACGTTAGATTTGCCTTTACCACCGGTCTGACAATCATCGTAGGAGTACAAATATCATGTTAGCCCCGAGGTCTGGTGCGGTGCTGCACCAATCACTCCTTCGGACGATATTTGGGTAAGTTGAATGAGGAGAGTTGTAGTAAAAGATGCTAATTCTCCTAGTGCACCACTTTTGTTCTTTTCTACTACAGACATTGGTGTTATTCTTAACAGGTATGAAGAGCGAATTAGTGTTTGGCTGTGGACTGAACGAGGCTGACCACCGACTACAGGTTCAGTCAAGACATATCATATGTGGATAGACAACTGCCATTTGCGTTGATAACTATTTGTGCTCGTAAGAGAGCCAATACTCCTTTTTGAGAATCACCACATCACTGCTAATACTCATTATTCTTGCTATAGAAATCTTCAAGATACTAAGCCAGCTTGTGCTAATCATCAACATTCAGAGATGGCTCGCTCTCAGCCTTCCTATTTGCGTCGTTGCCATCTACCTCATACAGAGACTCTATCTCAGGACCTCTCGCCAACTGCGAGTCCTCGAGCTTGAGTATCAGTCATCCCTCTATCAGTGGTTCTTAGAAACAGCGGAGGGTGTCGTCACGATACGGTCTTTTGGCTGGTCTTTTGCAGCTGAACAGAAGAGTCTTGATGCGCTAAATCGGTCCCTTCGACCGCGTTATGCTCTCATGTGCGTTCAGCGATGGCTGAGTCTCGTTCTTAACTTGATGGTGAACGGGATTGCGATTGCGTTGATTGCTCTTGCTGTGAAATGGAGGGGGACTACGACTGGGGGAGATATCGGCGCAGCGCTCAACCTAATACTGGTTGCTAGCACAACCTTGGTGCGACTGGTAGAGTCTTGGACATCTCTTGAGGTGGCCCTTGGTGCAATTGCACGACTTAGAAACGTGGAGTTATTTACTCCTCGGGAGGATCTACCTGGAGAAGATCTCGTGACATATGCTGGGTGGCCAACTAAGGGAGAAGCCCACATTGCAGATCTTGATGCAGCATATAGGTGAGTTTGTCCAAGTGTCAATGCATATACAACCACTAACAAGGGCAGCTCTGATCATCAAATCTTGCACAACGTCAATATTGATATTCAGGCTGGTCAAAAGCTCGTCATTTGCGGCCGAACTGGCAGGTATGAACCTCACAATACCCATTTCTCGTTCCATGATGACTGATAGGAAACATTAGTGGAAAGAGTACCATCCTCGCTGTTCTGCTGCGCTTGATCGATGGTACCGGAGTGGTCAATGTGGATGGACAAGATCTGCTTCGCACCCCTAGGTCAATTGTGCGACAGAAATGCTTCATAACCATCACTCAAGAGCCATTCTTGATACCCCAAGCCACCTTGCGATTCAATTTGGACCCCCATTCCATCGTTTCCGATGAAATACTTCAGATGGCCCTGCAAAAGGTCGGCATCTGGTCGGCGCTGTCGAGCAGGAGTGACACATCGGCAGAAGTACTGAACAGCGAATTCTCCACACTGCCCGTGCTATCCGTGGGACAGCAACAGCTGCTTGCTATGGCTCGTGCCATAGTCCGTAAGCATGCTTTAGCTAAGTCGGATTATCCTGGTGCTGATACGCCCAAGCCGATTCTCCTCTTGGACGAGGCCACTTCGTCGCTCGACTCGGCTACAGAGGCAGCTATTTACGATGTTTTGGAAAGCGAATTCATCCAGGCAGGGTATACGGCAGTCATTGTAGCTCATCGGCTCAGCGGGCTCGTAGGAAGAATGAGGCCAGAGAAGGATATGGTTGCTTGGGTCGCGAATGGGAGAGTCGTAAAGGTTGGTCGGTATGAGGACGCCATCACATTTGCGGACTCAGAGTAGGGCGCATTTCTGACTCTTTTGGTGGTGTATTTACAACTAAATAATAAGATGTGAGGTCTCATAGTAATGTTAATGGAGCTTCGAGTGAACTAGATATTACATATGAATGATAACCGGATACCATGAAAACAGATACTTCATACAGCATCAAAGTAGAGTGGATGACTTCGAATTAAGCTTATATGGTGACTGATATTACCGTAATTCCTAGTTTAGCTCGCACCGTGGTTCAACTATCATGCGCTCCATGTCAGCTCACGGATAAATACAAAGCGTTCATAGGTGGGGTATCTCTATTGGCCAAGAGCCTTGGTAATCATTTTCGTATTAGCATCAGTTCGTATTAAAGAGGGAGTTTCGAGGCTTGGTGCTGTTCTTCTTACGACTATGAAGACTAAGCTACGGGGAGGCGCCGATTTCATGCGGAGATTCAGCTTTCAGGCTGATTACGGACTTCTCCACACGGCTAAGTTGGAGAGCTTCTCCTCATGGCGCCGATTTCGCCTGGGCACGGAGAGGAAAGAAGAAATACAAGATGGATTCGATGTGATTGAAAAGTAGAAAAAGAGTCTGATAAATACGGTCTGGATAATGGAAAGATAGCAATCGACAGCCGACAACATACGTATTCGCCATGCCATTGGTTCGCAATCCCATCTTGCCAGGGTTCAATGCTGACCCTTCCATTGTGAGGGTCAGCACGGACTATTACATCGCCACATCGACATTTGAGTGGTATCCAGGGGTTCAGATACACCATTCCAAGGACCTGGCAAACTGGGACCTTGTTGTCCGTCCGCTGAGCCGGCGGAATCAGATCGACTTGCGCGGCGAGCCTGATAGCTGCGGAGTGTGGGCGCCGTGCTTGACACACGATGGAGAGAAGTTTTGGCTCGTGTATACAGATGTGAAGCGCAAGGATGGCTCGTTCAAGGATACGCACAATTACATTGTGACGGCGCCGGCGATTGAGGGCCCTTGGTCTGATCCCATCTACGCCAACTCGTCTGGTTTCGACCCTTCTCTATATCACGACGATGATGGCCGTAAGTGGTTCGTCAACATGACCCAGGATCACCGAGGGAGGCCGAGAACGTTTTCAGGGATTGCACTGCAAGAGTTCGATCCGGTCCAACGCAAGCTAGTTGGCCCTAGGAAGATTATCTTCCACGGCACAGAACTTGACTTAGTAGAGGGCCCCCATCTGTATAAGAGAAACGGATGGTATTATCTCTTGACGGCTGAGGGTGGCACGGGATATACTCACGCTGCGACACTTGCACGATCGAGAAGCATCTGGGGCCCCTATGAGCTTCATCCGCAAAAGTATATCGTATCTTCCAGGGACCACCCGTTTGCGGCACTTCAGAGAGCTGGACACGCTGATTTCGTAGACACTCCTGATGGAAAGACATATCTGGTGCATCTTTCTGGTCGACCAATTGGACAGAAACGGAGATGCGTATTGGGGCGAGAGACGGCTTTGCAGGAGGCATACTGGGGTGAAGACGACTGGCTGTATGTCAAGAATGGCCCGGTTCCGTCATTGGATGTTGAAGTACCAGGAACACGGGACGAGGAAGCCTACTGGAAGGAAATAAGGTATGATTTCCGAGACGGGCTTCATAAAGACTTCCAATGGCTGCGCACGCCAGAGCCGGAGAGGCTGTTTGCATTTGAGAATGGCAAGCTTGTGCTCACAGGAAGGGAATCCATTGGCTCCTGGTACGAGCAGTCTCTGGTGGCTCGGAGGCAGACACACTTCTCTTTCGACGCTGAAACGGTTGTCGACTTTTCGCCCGAAGACGAGCGCCAGTTTGCTGGTTTGACACTATATTACTGCCGGTACAATTTCTTTTATCTCGCAGTGTCAGCACATTCAGACGGCCAGCGTGAAATCCAGATTATGAGATCGGAGGCATCCTGGCCCGATGGCAAGCTGACTGATGTTGGGGAGAATGCCTATTTCGTAAGTCTTCCCGCAGAAGGAAAAGTCAAGCTGGTGGCTACCATTCGCGGGAGCGAGCTGCAATTCTATTATGCCCTTGTTGCCGGCGACGGCCAACAACAAGGAGAGCTACAGAAGATTGGACCTGTGTTGGACGCTTCGATTGTGTCGGATGAGTGTGGTGGACACCAGGCCCATGGGAGCTTCACCGGGTCTTTTGTCGGCGTTGCTTGCTCGGATTTGAATGGGACGGAGAAGAAGGCCACTTTTGACTATTTCGTGTATCGTCCTGCGCATGATGCGACTGATCGATACTCAGTCTAGACTTGGAGTTCGAAAAAGAACCGGATAGTTATATATTGGTCTGTAGTCGTGATATGTATTAATTACACCAATGTCACCCCTTAGTAGGTCGTCTCTGTATTTTGTCTGTCCACTCTACATCTAGTAGATCCATCACTGGTATTCTTCTTGTGATGATCCCCATGCTAACGTCGCAGCACGGCCAGAATCTCACGTGGTGTCTAGGATTACAAGGAGGAGGGCCTGAACCGAACAACGGGCAGCGGCTTGGCACTCATCACGCTACGCAACGTTGGAACTGCAACCCACGAGGTAGCACTAGGCAGCATTTATTTTTCTCCGCATTTGGCGTTCCGAAGGTGGTGGTTTTTCCATTGGCTGGCAAACTCGGTTGATTCGGATGATTCGGTCTATTCGGCAATTATATTGTTGGAGAAACTTGGAATTGGTCTAACATCCAACGTCTTGGCAGAAATGTAGCCTTCAAGATGCCTTGCCTCCTCGTTCTCCCAGGGAAATTCTGTTTTACGCTTTACGTTCTACTACCTCAAGATGGCGAGCAAACAAACCTTACCCAGGTGCTATAGCATCAATAGTATCTACAGGCCCAGGATATGTTTATGGTCTAACATTATCCCTTAAAATGTCAGAGCTCGTCTACGACTTCCATATTGTTAGCGGTGGAAGTGTAAGTAGCATCAGAGCTGGGGGATCAACATTAATATGGCATCATACATATGCCCTACAGGCTTAGATCGTCAAACGGTCGCTTTGCTTTCTAAATTAAGATCAGTGCTCCGTAATACCATGCATGTCTCAGCCTGGTCCATAACAAACTGTCTCACTATACAAACCGGTATTCGGGGCTTGAGCACCTCCGTTTGTACTCTGTATACCGCTAGTATGACTTAATGTCTCATCCATTTTATTTGTTTGAACAAGAGAAGACAAATAACTTCAACTCTATGCTTTAAGCATACTGGCTAAATCAGTGAACTAGACCTTAAATCACCAGCATCCCGAGCTTACTTCGTGACTCCAACCGACCCACGGCATATGACGGAGCGGCATCTGGATGAGCTGCCTAATGGGGGAATGCCCGTTCATTCTAGTAAGATTCTAAGTTGTACAATCCTAAATTCGTCTCCACAGGACATGAGAAGGGTGGCTGCAGTAGCGGGTCTATGTCATGGAGATGCCGGAAGCCAACAGCCGTTTTCGTCTTGTCAGGCTGAACAATTGGACATCTCTCCCTTCCCAACCCTAGTGTATCCCTCCTCGGATGTTTGAGCATGTCACTACTATTCCCCTCTCTACTCCGTACTCATGGCTTCTATCTTTCATCCAACGGCCTGCCCGACTTCATCCGCAGACCATGTCATATAACTTCCCCGCGCTTTGATCCTAATCTCCCCCGCAAAAACGATCTTGGCCTTCCCCACAAACTCCATATCGGCCTTCTTCCGCACGTCCAATCTTTTCTCGCCGTATACTGGGATCGGAGTGTATGGCCGGGGAGAAGCTGCAAGGGGGGCAAACTGGGAGCGTAAGCGACCGATTGGTGGCCAAATAGTGGATAGAGTATAATCTGGGGTTCTACATAGAATATCTGGCTGGCCGCGTGTAAGTATATATAGCAGGGTAGTATCGCGTCTGAGACTCGAATTCTATATTGGAGCCTCATCACCTCAGTACCCAGCTGATAAAAATGGTGGCACAAAGTCTTCTCGTCTCCACTCTCCTGCTATCAATAGCGGGAGCTGTCCAGGAAACTGTGGATGTTGGATACTCTGTGTATAAGGGACAGGCACTTCCAAATGGTGTGAGCCAATGGCTGGGGATTAGATATGCTGCACCGCCGTTGGGCGAGTTGCGGTTTGCGCCTCCACAAGATCCTCTCCGTACGGAAGGTATTCAAGATGCTACTCAGGTCAGTTTTTGTGCCAGAATCATTTAATGTTGATGAATCCAGGGAATAACATTCAACATAGCACGGGAAATACTGTCTTGCGACTGGCGGTACGCCCACAGCCAAGTCTACGTCAGAAGACTGTTTGTTCTTAGATGTCCAGGCCCCGACTCGAGCCACAGCTCACTCGAAACTCCCTGTTTTTCTTTACATTCAAGGCGGTGGCTTCAATCTCAACTCAAATCCAAACACCAATGCCTCTGGCCTGATCATCAACAGTGGCTACGATATCGTAGTTGTGAGCCTCAACTACCGTGTTGGTCCGTACGGCTTCATGACGGACAGTAACAAAATTCTCCCTAACAACGGCCTTCGTGACCAACGCAAGGTGTTGGAATGGGTGCAGAAATACATCTCCCGATTCGGTGGTGACCCGAATCATGTCACTCTGGGAGGAAGCAGTGCTGGCGCTGCCAGTGTTACATACCACCTGACTGCCAATAATGGGACTAATCGAGGGCTTTTCAATGCTGCAATTGCAGAGTCCCCATCGTTCGCGACGACTCTCACGGTGGCTCAATCTCAATACATGTACACTCAGTTTGCAACTCGGGTAGGTTGTGTTGGCAAAGACAACCTCGCTTGCATGCGCAATAAGACGGCGGTGGAGCTTCAGACACAAAATTTCAATATTCCTCTTCCTGGAGCGGCTAACCCACCCAACTATATGTGGCTCCCTGTTCTGGATCAAGAATTTGTACAGGACTTCACATACAGAGTATTTTCAAAAGGAAAGTTTATCAAGGTGCCTACCATCTATGGCGATGATACCAACGGAGGGACCAAGTTTGCCCCCAAAGATACCGCCACCCTCCAGCAAAGCAACAGCTATGTATTGGATCAATATCCTGTGCTCACTCTGGAGATGCTTGGACAAATTAACGAGATGTATCCCAACCCGAATACAAGCTGCCCTGCTGTTGGCTGCTACTGGAGACATGCCAGCAATGTATACCAGGAGGCTCGTTACATGTGTCCCGGCATGTATATCAGCTCTGTCGTGAACAAAGCTGGAAAGGATTCTTGGGTCTATCGTTGGAACGTTGAGGATCCTGATCAAGTGGCCTCTGGATTGGGTGTGCCTCACACCGTCGAACTGAACGCTCTCTGGGGCGCCAACTACGTTGACGGTGCGCCGGCGAGCTATCAGGATGGCCAGATCAACGCTGCTGCTTCGCCTACTATGCAGTACTACTGGCTCAACTTTATCAAATACTACAACCCCAATGGCAAAAACATCTATTCTACCAGCAAATACCCCCAATGGAAAGCGTGGTCTGACAGAGCTCAAAGTCGTCTCACGTTCCAGACTGGAGGCAAGGCGGAGATGATCCCCGTTGACTCAGGCTTGAAGCAGCGGTGTGATTTCTGGACGAATAATGGTATCGCATTGACAATGTGAGGATATTCAGGAAGGCATTTGTCGAGTAGCTTCAACTTGGGAGGAAATGCGCTGTTTGGGGGGGAAAATTGTCTATTGCGGCTGTGGGCCATCCGGATATCTATGCTCAAACAAATGACTCGCTAGTATATATCTGTAAAATTAAAAAAAGATGAGGTAACGACTTACTTCGAAAATGAGGCTTAAATTAACTGCCCTGCTGGTCTCACATCTGAATCACAACAGTGGTTGACTCTTGTGCTTCGTATTCGGGTGAGTGAAGCCGATTTCCGAGTTAAAACATTCGCTTATCGTCCAATTTGTTCCGGCATTCAGAATGTCTGTTTCATGATGATTTAGCCAACTTTTACATATCACTTTTGACTTGATTTCGCTGAATTTTACCAGTATCTTTGGGCCGTGATTTATGAATGATCCTCAGTCCGAATCTGTGATACTTGCGCGATGACGACACGTGATGATTGGTATCATGCATCTCCCCGCACGCTGATTGCACATCTCTGATAAGCCCAAACCACACTCAGTTCAAGCAATTATCATCTGCGGTAATAGTTGTGTGTAATTGTTGGATTCTACAAGTTGGCAAAATATTCATTCGAGATGTCAAAATCTTATTTACTGTGGGTTGGGGGCAATGAAGTGGCTGGTACTGGTGATCTGTACGTCAACGGTCTACTCAAAGACGCTCTCAGGACGAAGCTGATAGTGGTTGCATAGGATACCCGTTGAGAATCCAGCCGGAATGAAAGTATTCGCAGAGTAAGTGTTCTTTCGGGAAATTGTCTTATGCGAACGACTCGATACTTACTCCAAGTCGCTGGTTAGATGCCATTCTGCATCACCCAAAGATGTGGATGATACTGTCCAACTTGCTCATAGTGTCTTCAAATCTGGGGTTTGGTCCAAAGCGCCTCGGCATACGCGAGCAGATGTGCTGGATAAGGCTGCTGAGCTTCTCACTTCGAACCTCGCTACACTGATACCCTTGGAAGTTGAGCAGACGGGACGCGCAATCCGAGAGATGCAAGCTCAAGTTCCATCTCTCGTTCGCTGGTTCCGCTACTACGCTGCCGTTCTCCGTACCGAAGAGCGGCCTGTCTTGCCAACGATGGGGAAACTGCACAACTGGCTGGATCGGGTGCCACTTGGCGTCGTTGTTCAGATCACGCCGTTCAATCACCCGCTTCTCATTGCAGTCAAGAAGCTTGCACCCGCTCTGGCCGCTGGAAATAGCGTAATATTGAAGCCGAGTGAGCTTACACCACTAACTAGCTTGCTGCTGGGACCAATCTTGAAAGAGGCAGGACTGCCAGATGGTGTCTTCAACGTGTTACCTGGTCTCGGAGCTACGACCGGACGCGCGCTTGTGAGCCACCCTCTTGTGCGGAAAGTAGACATCACTGGAGGAACTGTTGCTGGAAGAGCGATTGGCTCTATTGTTGGTAATAATTTGGCACGGTTTACCGCAGAACTGGGAGGAAAGGCACCCTTAATCATATTCGACAAGGCAAACATCGATTTAGCCGTCAATGGCGTTGCTTTTGGATCGTTTATCGCAAGCGGCCAAACCTGTGTTGCTGCAACCCGCGTCATTGTTCACAAGAGTATCTTGGCCACTGTGGAGGAGAGACTTGCCCACAAAGCTGAATCAATAGCACGACGGATGGGCTCGCCTACAAATCCCAAGTCTTCTATGGGTCCTCTCATCTCGTCTAGGCAACTTGGTAATGTCGTGAAACTTGTGGATGATGCTGTTACCAATGGAGCAAAGATTGTTTGCGGCGGTAAGAGGATGTCTGGCAAATCTGAACTCGATGATACCAATTTCGATGAAGGCTATTTCTTCCCTCCAACAATCTTGGCTTCAGGTCCAGCATGCGACATTACTAAGACTGACATTTGGCGCGAAGAGGCCTTTGGGCCCGTCATTCTTCTGGTTGGATTTGAAAGCGAGCAAGAGGCTCTGGAGCTCGCCAACGATAGCGAATTTGGCCTAGGAGCGGCATTGTGGACTGATGATCTGAGCCAAGCTTTCAGAGTATCTGAACAAATTGAGTCCGGAATAGTTTGGGTCAACACGCACCATCGAAATGATCCGAGCAGTCCGTGGGGAGGAGCTTCTAGCGCAAGCGGAGTTGGAAGTGAGAATGGTGTCGAGGCATATTATGCATATACGACGACGAAGAGCATCATTGTCAACTATGCTTCTAGTGATGAAGCCGTAGCGGATGACTGGTTTAGAGAAGACGGTGTCCAAGTACGTTATGGATGAGCTGATACTTGCAACAAGGCCAGAGATTTGGTACAAAATATTGTCAGCACTTGAGATGAATGCAAGCATATTCGTGCACACGGTCAAGTTCCTTTGGTTTCTATCGAACACGAGCTCTTGTACATATCCACGGCTTGGTCTTGATTTGAAGGCATAGAGCTCGTTCTTGATACCACCTACAACGTGATTATAACCGTTTTAATCTCATAAAATTCTTCAAGGCCCAATTTGCCCAATTCTCTGCCATTACCAGACTGTTTCCAGCCGCCAAAAGGCATGTCATAGGCGCCAACGCTGCCGCCAGAATTCACTGTGACGACTCCCGTCTCTAATGCTGTCGCTACTCGACATGCGCGTGAGATGTCTCTGGTGTAAAGACCAGCGTGTAGGCCATATTCTGTCTTGTTACACTCTGCGATCACCTCTTCTTCCGTTTCAAACTCTTGAATCACGGCTACTGGACCAAAGATTTCCTCGTGTAAGATGTCGGCACTGGCGGGGACTTTCGCAAAAACCGTTGGCTGGATGTAATATCCCTTGTCGGTGGCACGACTACCTCCAATAACTAGATTCGCCCCCGAAGACTTGGCCTGCTCAATGTATTTTAATATTTGATCAAATTGAAGTTTATCGGCTTGCGGACCGAAAAAGGTGGTAGGCTCCAGTGGGCTTCCAATCTTGGGCTCCACGAACTTTTCACTGAAGACTTTGAGGAACTTTTGGAAGATGTCTTTATGGGCGTAGATTCGTGAGTTTGAGACACAGATCTGGCCCGAGTTAAACTTCAAGCTGGCGGCAGCAGAGCCTGCGGCCTCTTCAATGTCGCAGTCGGGGAAAACGATCAGTGGGTTTTTGCCTCCCATTTCAAGTGCAACGGATTTCAGATTTGACTTTGCGGCCGCCTCTTGAATGAGCTTGCCTGCACGAGTAGAGCCGGTAAACGTAAGCTTGCGAATCTTCATATGACTGGACAAGGCTGCGCCAACGGTGTGGCCGAATCCAGAAAGTACATTGATAACTCCTGGAGGGAACCCAGCCTCGGCTGCCAGTGCGCCTAGTTTGAGAGAAGAGAGAGGGGCTTTCTCCGATGACTTGACGATGATTGTATTGCCTGCCACTATACATGGAATGACCTTGGCGGTAAATATTACGACTGGTGCGTTCCAAGCGAGAATGGCAGCGCACACCCCATAAGGCTGCCTCAGGGTGATATGAATCTGCCCGGGGGTGTTTAAGCTAGTTTCTCCGTGCACATCGTGGGCTAATCCAGATGTATGCTTGATGTCTCGAATTGCTCTCTGAATGAAAAGATGATTCACTGATACGGGCATGCCGATATCCTCAGCATCGAGTTTGGCGATCTCGAACTGATCTCTCTCGATAAGTTCAGCAAATTTCAAGCACTTGTTGATACGGTCATGTGCGGAGAGGCTTTTCCAGGCCGGAAATGCGTTTTCTGCAGCAGTGACGGCAGCATCAACGTCGGCAGCATCGGCTTCATAAACGTCGATGATCTTTTCTTCAGTTGTAGGATTGAAGACTGGAAATGTCTTGCCAGAAATGCTGGGTACGAATTTGCCGTTAATGAAAAGTTTTGTTTCTGGAGTGGCCATTCTGAGAGTATTTATTCTTTTCCTGAAAGAAGATGTTGTCGAGGATGGACAGAAGAATGATAAAAAGAAGAAGGGATATACGAGAATGGAGACGCTTAGACCTAATGGCTTGATACGGATAAGATGCGTAGGAAAGTACGTTTATGCTTGTTGGGTGCTTCTTATATATGCCTCCCTTCTCGTGTTCGGGTTATGAGATATATATGAAGGTTTGGTTATTACGAATCTTATACCCGAACATTCTTAGTATTCAGAGACTTAATACCACCTATTTATTCCATAATACTACTCAATGATGATATATGGTGAACATATGTTAAGTATTCCTGCAACAATTTTAGCCCGAGTCAGTAATGTGCCATTCCCGTGAGAGAGATAAGTCATGTCTAAATAAAGCTGGGCAGATAGCCTGATTGATCGAATAAACGGCTTGAGCTTAACCCAATCTCTAACTAATTATACTGCTTTAAATGGAAATCACCTATAGTCTATGATCCACTATCTATCGTCCGTTGCTTAGATGCTATGTTGACGGATAGGATCATGTGGTGCCCAGTTGCTAATACTACAAGGCAGCAGACGTGCGTCGTAATATCTTGCTGCTCGTTCTTCGCCCGGCACTTCGTTCGCCTCCCATTGTATTTTGCTGTGGCATGGATGAATTATGGATGAAACCCGGACGAACTATGGACCACACGTTGGATAGATGGAAGAACAGGGACGAATACCGGACGAGTGATCAGTAATACTTAGAACTTTGGCCGTATTATGGGTCGTATGGAAAGAGATACGGACGAGTTGCGGACGAACCAACTTCCCATCAGCTAAGAAAAGGGAAAATGCATTAGGAATTGATGTCAAACCTGACGTATGTCAGATTCTATACTATCTGAGCGGCCCGGAGTACTCCATATTTTAAGTGCAATCGACTATGCTCGGGTTTCGGCTGACATGCATACAAATTCCCGCCTCTGGGGCACTGAGGGAGTTAAGCGATTTGCAAAAAAAAAAAAAAAAAAAAAAAAATTCAGAGACCGCAAAATGAATATGTGCATATACGAGGAGAATGTGCCCACCATGCATGATGAGTTTAGTGTGGTGAATATGTGCGGTTG